TTCAAAATATATTAAATAAATAGTTTTACTAAGAAACTGAGAAAAGCTTTCTATCGATGGTGATGTCTGAAAAACTAAATAAAAATATTTAAATCAATTACATACAGGAATGGACATAGAGGAGACATGTTGTTTCTCTTAAAAATTTTAAATTCATATATATTTTAGATATTTTTTTATATTTTCTATTAAAAATATGTTTTGCTCCCTTAAATTTTTTAAGTTTCTCCCTACTTAAATTTTATAAATTCGTCTCTCCTAACATAAAATCATATCCGTCTCTGATTACATTAATCCAAATTTAACATATTACATTAAAGATTCAATCGTAATTTATACGTAGTTTCTGAGAATTGAATTTAGTAAGAAGTCTAAGGACGCATTTCATCTTGTTGTTTTTATTTTTAATTATATTAATTTTATCATTGAATTGATTTAATTGTATTATTTTTGTCTTTTGATTGATGTTGATCATTATGGTATTGATTTAAAGATCTATTGTATCGACATGATAGTATATAATATTCACGTGATGATAATGTGATACAATGGTTAAAATGATATTTTAACCGCGATCAAAGGCATAATTAATTTTTTAATTGGGTTTAAAAGTATAATTGAGATTTTAGTCGAGTTTAAGGGTGTAATTGATTTTAATTGAAAGTTCAATGATTTTTTTAATTCCATAACTTGTTGAATCCATCCAAAGTCTTGAAGACTGATGTCCATCGTCTTGCTCCAAAAAGAATCTGTGAGGTTTCATCAAACATGCAAATAAATCAAAACCAAATAGAAACGGAAATAGTGAAGGAAAAACAAAAAAGGTACCAGCATCTTGATCTAGATCTAGTATATGATGATTACAAGAGTAATATATATTCGTAAGATTCTTTTAATTATTTGACAATAAACGTTCAAACATCTCTGTAGAAGTCATATTCAATCTCAAAATCTCCAAAAATAACAATTCTTCATTTAATCACTGAGATTGCTTAATTCGTGCTTAGATAATATTATACACATATTGTTACATATAGGAGCCGACCGAACCATAAACACCTATGGGACGTGGTATATCCAACCCATGGAAAATGGTAGATCCAACCCATTTTTCAAGCATTAAAGATAACTCAAAAACGTAAGCCTAAACACGAAAAGGAAAGAAAGAAGCCTTGCATTGAATTGGGCCACAACCACCAATTCCTAACGTAGTTGTATCTGTACGTAGTTTCTCAGCATGCCATATCCTTTCACCCAACTCTTTGCTATAAATACCCTTGAACCCTTAGGCCCTAACCACGCAACAATCAACAATTAACTTTCCATTGATTGTTTTCTTCTAGTTTAACAATATGGCTAGCTCTATGTCCCTTAAGCTTGCATGTGTTCTGGTACTGTGCTTGGCCGTGGCTTCACCCCAGGCTCAAGGGGCAATAACTTGTGGCCAGGTCATATCGTACCTGGCACCCTGCATTGTTTACGTACGAAACAATGGTGCCGGTGGTGGTGTGCCTGCAACTTGCTGTAATGGGATCAAATCTCTCAACCCGATCAACTCCTGACCGCCAATCGGCTTGCAAATGCATCAAAGGAGTGGCTGCCAGCATTCCCGCATCAACTATGGCGTTACCAACAAACTCTCAGGCATGTGCGGGCTGAACAGCCCGTACAAGATCAGCCCCTCCACTGACTGCAAAAGGTTACTTATGACCCAATAATGCTTTATGACATCAATTAGCAAATGGTTAATTTCTTAATTGATTAACAGATGTGTTTGTTTTCGTTGTTGCATTGCAGCGTCAAGTGAAGTTAGCCATGGAAGTTGGTAAGCAAATCGAAGGGGAAATAATAATAATAACTAAATAATAAAAATGGATGTTAAAAATCCGTAGGGATAGCATATCCCAAGTCGTAATAAAAGAAATATGAGTTTTATGTTTCTGTAATCACGTCTAATGAATAACATTTCTATGTTCATCTCTGCAAAACTAATATAAATATTTATAATATTTTGATGTTGAACATCAAATCAAATAAATCCACGTTTGCTTATTCATTGTTATTTAAAATATAAGAAATATTATATATATTGTTTACCTTATATTCAAGTGATCCACTTCTAGCATATCTAGATTAATTTGCAAAGTGGTCTTCGAATTAATTTGGAGTTACAAATTGCCTAAAAAATTAATAGTAAATAATAAAAAATTTCATTGTAAAATCAAATATTTTATAAAAGTATAATTATAATAGTAATAGTAATAGTAATTAAAAAGAGAATAAAAATAAATAAGAACATATTATTATAAATTGAAGCTTTATATTAACTTATCTTTCTTCAACGTCATTATCATTAGAATATAAATAGACATTTGCTCTTCAGAGAATCCTTACTCTTTGAGAAATTTATAACTTATTAATGTTAACGATCTTATTTTCTTTAGTTTCCATGTGATTGAAAATACCTAACTCATTAATGTTATTTATAGTGTTAATCTTAATTTTAGTTTAAAATAATTTTAACACTTTGAATTTAATGATATTAGTTTTTATTCATACGTATTTCGTAAGAGTTTTATTCACTTGCATTCACATCTAATTATTATTAAAATCTTAAATAAATTCTTAATATAAATGTTATTAAAAATTGTATTTTACATGAATTTATATCGAAAATAATATTATAATTATGATTTATTTAAAGAATTATTTTTAAAAAATTTAAATGTCAATTTTAGTAAGGCTTGAAAAACCACACATACAGGCCTCTAAACACATTTTAAAGGTCTAACTAATTTATAAAATTTTATGAGAATATTATTGTATTATTTAGCATCATTTTTATACTTTTGTAATACTAAAATGCATATAAACTATCATATACATTACTGGCTTACCCTTTACTTGAGAAAAGGGACAGCTACTCTCTATTTTCTATTAAAATTGACATAAAGAGATGTATAAATAGTTGGACTTCTACCCCAGTTTCATCTCTGATCATACCATCCAAAAACACTCATCATAAAAACATCAAACATACAATATATCATATTTATAAATTTCAGAAATCATTTCACAGGTAAATGTTACTATCTCAACATACAACAAAAAAAGAAGTTGATTTGCTAATCTCCACAATCTTCTCCTTTCATGTGGCTCATAAGGGTTCATCAACTTCTTTTTCTAGCCAACCAAACATAGAAATGACTCACATCAAACAATAGATTAAAAGGAGTAAAATTACGAACTTAAAACATAAAAATCCTTCAAGTAACTTTACATCACCTTTTAAAAAAGATGATAAGATTTTCTTCAAGCAGCTCATAGAATGAGATGATGATTCTTACCTTCTTGAATCTTGGATAAACGATTTGAATGAAAAAGTTTGATCTTCCAATAACCACACACTAGGGTTTGAAAGGAAGAAGGTATAAGAAAGAAAGAAGAAGTGTGTGATGTCATGTTCAGATTTTGCTCATTCCTTTCCTATGTAAATATAAGAAAAAATAAGTTATAATACTAAAAAATATCCCCTTGGATTAAATAGTCATTTCAACTCTTTTTATTTTTTTTGAGCATTTTGACCTCCAACGTTATTTTAGGACAAAAAAATCTTAATGTTTGACTAAATAGTCACTATAGCCTTTATTCTTTTTTAGGAGAGCATTTTGACCCATAATATTTTATTTTAGGGTCAAAAGATCCCTATTTTAGAGCGTTAACCATTTGTTGACTAACGTTTTTTTATCCACATAGGGGTATTTTACCCCAAAATGAAACGTTTGGGGGTCAAAATACTCCAAAAAAAATGAATATGAGCCAAAATAACTATTTAGTCAAAAGCTAAGAGCATTTTTATCATTATGCCAAAAATTAATTGGAATACGATCTTGTTTTCAAAACAAAGGCTAATTACCCTTTGGTTCTTTACTATTTATCCTTCATTCAAAGATCTCATATTTACTCTCAATTAGGTCTAATTTTCATCCAGTTAAGTCCAAACGTAGTTCAACGAACCCAATCTCACAACCTAATTCATTCATGGTTCTAGTCAACATGCAAACATTAGCTCAAGAATTTGAAACGTTACAGAGTTGTTAGTTTTGGGGCATTTTTCTTAATTCTTAATTTTATTTCGTTGATATTTCATTGGTCAATCACTTGAATTTCTCCTGATGATGATGGATGAAAGAAGTTTTGTATATCTTCCATTTGACATCCTGTCGGAGATAGTGAAATGTGTCGTTGGATATTCTTCTCACGAGTTTTTTAATCACGTGTGGTTTGCAAGGTGTCCTAGAGCCTAGAGGTATCCACAAGAGAGAACATATATGTAACTGCATTCTTGCATAACTATGGTTGTCATCTTTAGCTTGCAGCCTCATGGTTTTTCCTAAAAAAAGGAATTACGTTATGATTATTAGAGGAAGCTTCTGATAAAGCGGTTCTCTCTTTTATTTAAAAAAAAATCTGATAATTTTTACTCAGATCAATCAATAGGTCAATAAATCAAGTAGGTTGGATCGGATAATTTTGAATATCCCTACACGGGATGGGCTATGGATCGTTAATTAAATTTGACCGTGGAACACACTTTTATTTATTTGGGGAATGGTAATGGATACAATGATAATTTAAGAACCAAGAGCCGAGAAGTCAAACAAATTAACAAGTACATAAGAAACTAGGAGAGCAATTGGGGGAACGAAAAGAAAAGTAAAACAGCTTACATTTGCTATTGCATACAATGATATAACACCCCTAACAATAACATGCTCAAAGCTCCACAGGAATAATCATATTACTCACACATTACCCATTTCCTAGTAATAACGATTTCACGCAATACCATACACGTAACATAGCTGTCTGAGCTACAGTTGGGTATCGACTACCAACACGGGGAAGACAAACAAAAAAAAGGCAGGAGGGTAATCAACATTATGATATATTTAAACGAACGAAAGAAAATATTTTCCAATAAGAACATTCCGTGAATCCTTAGCCGTGGCTTAAACTTCTAGTCTCCTTAGGATGCACTAGGTTTTGCAATGGATTTCTTAATAGCCTCGGCATAAGTCCTGTGTTGATAGGTTAGGGTAGATTCAAGCAAATCCCACAGGGATGTCTTCGGGTTCCAACCTGATGCAGTATTAAACAGTGATCGGATGCTCAAATTCTATTATGAGATGAAAAATCGAAAGATTATATGAGAAAAGAGAAAGCACAGCAGTACCAAGTTGTTTATTTATTATGGTCATGTCAGGAATTCTCTTATCACTGTCATCGTAACCTTCGCCATAAAATTCCTTGGAGCTGACATCAACTGTTGGCGAATCAAGTGAAGGTTCTCCACTAGCCTTGGCATAGACCTGAAGAGCCCAAAGGCATGACAGTACCAAGTGATAAATTACATACGACCAATGCATCACTGTAAAAATAATAATATATTAATAGGAACCATATGCTTCACCTTAGTCATCATCTCAGCAAGTTGCCGAACCGTGACTTCATTGTTTGGGTTACCAACATTAAAAATATGACCATTGGCCCTGTCTGGATTTTCCTGCTCAGATGACACCACCAGTTTAGTTAATGTGGAAATGACGGAGTGGAGAGGGAGAATGAGGCAAAATGAGAGATAATACGCACAATCATCAAGAGAACAGCTTCAATAGCGTCCTTTATGTAAACAAAAGTTCTCTGAGATTGACCACCATCAACAAGCTTAAGTGGTTCACGGCGTAGGAGATTCTAACCACCAAAAAAGGGGAAATTACCATTAAAATTAAGACTATTGAAGGGTAGAAAGGAGAAATTATACTTCCTAGAATGGGAAGAGGAGTTCAACTAACGTTACTAAAGCATGCAAGAACTCTTGGAACTCCCTCACTTGGACCATCAATGCCAGGAATGAAGTCCATCCTTGGTCCAATCCAGTTAAAAGGCCTCACAATGGTGAACTCAAGGCCATTCTCAGCCCCCTCAGCTGCAACAATAAAAAAGAAGTCGATTAAAATTGTTTCAAGCATCTCTAAGGGCCAGGTTATTTAGCAATATGCTAACCATAAATGAGCCTCTCAATCAATTGCTTAGCACAAGCATAAGACCACCTCTGCTTCTCGATTGAACCAAAAATGCAGGGAGATGTAACTTCATTAAGAAGATAGTAGGCAGGATCCTATCACATGAATCACAGAATGTGTTAGATTCGCAAAGAAGGAACATGTTAATATCACCTATCAATATGAAAGGGGAAAAGGACCAATAACACAAAAGTAAAGTTAAAGTTTAATTAATAAAAAAAGGTTAAAGTTTAAAGGAGAAAAACAATGCAAAGCACATTAAATCATTCTCGGCATCACCACAGGTTTAGCCGTATGCATAAAATCTTTGCAAAAAGAAGATAACTTGAGAAACAAAAGTCCTTTAAAAAAGGCATAGTTTTAACATTTCAGCTTCATGAAGCAAACCGATGAATATAGAGCTTTTCAAAAAGCAACTAATTTTAGCATAAGCACAATTAAAACCAAAATAAGGTTGCTTCCTATAGTTGTTGTCCAGGTAAATATTATTGACGAAGAAGAGAAGACAAATTGTATTCAACAAATTTATAAACTCATGGAGCATATGAATCATAAGTAGAGGAATAAATATCCCACAAGGCTTGAGACTGTTCTAACCTCTTATACATAACAGGTTCACCAATAGAAATGTTTAGGAATAACAAAAGCTCTCAAGCTTTAAAAAAGTGAAATCCAGTTAAAAAATTGGCGTAACTTGTTATAAACCACTCGCAGATAGAACTTGATAGACTAAATAAATACCTCATAAACATCAACTACCACAGTAAGTTGCTATTACATTGACCCAAACAACCACACAAACCCCCATCACATGAGCCTCCGTTTGTTTGTTTTTGGAGGGCATTGACCAGTGTTTGCTGACCATCCAATTTCAAGATTTATTCATTTAAAGTCAAATATCATAACATTTCAACTCAATACCAACTTGAAAAGTCCTTTTTTCCTTAAATATCAAGCATATACATAAAAAAATACACCTCGAATCTTTAAAAGACAACCGAGTGATCTTATTAAACCATACATGTCGTCCAGTTAAAAGCAACGCATAGATATAAGTTCTTTTTCCAAAAAAAAATTAAGTTTATTAGAAAAGGGAAAGCGAAAGATTACCTGACGTAGAGGAGAATCTTTAGGAAGAAAGCTTCCAATAGTTTTGCCATATACTTCACAAGTAGAGAAGTGAATCAGACGCTTGTTGTTCTCTGAACAGTACTTCACCTATAAAACCACAAGTTCACAGCATCAATTTCAACTTCGATCTTCAAAACCTCAGCATAACAACCAAATTTACCCTCACATAAAATCAATCTAATTAAAATGGAAACTAACAAATGGCACACACACAAAACCGTTACAAGAGAAATACTTACCACGGGAAGTGCATCGATAAAATTGCTGTAAATCGTGTCAAGTGGACGAGTATTATAATCAGCTGGAGTACAGATCGCCGCCAGATTTATCGTCTACATTGCCACAAATGCAATAAAAACCAAATCAATCGCCATAAGTTCAGCAAGAACTTTTGAAGAAAAACAGATAATAAGAAACTATCTTTTAAATAACAATGAGAGAAAATTAGCTCAAAAAAGTTCAAAATCAAATAAATACATGAACTGAATGAGATCTAATTAACTAAAAACAAGAAAAGAACCAAATAAAATAAAAATAAAACCGTTTCGGATGGATATAAAGAGAAATTTCAAATGATCTATCATGTCCTACAAACGTTGTTCAGAAAAAAAGAAAGAACTAGAAATTATATCTAAGAGAGAAAGAAATTACGAGATCTGCCATCTTGATGAGGCCTTCGAGCCTAGAATCGTGCTTGATATTAAGTCGGTGGAACTGAATACGGCCAGCCCAAGGGAGAGAGTCAGGCTCGAGAAGGTGTTTGATCTTGTCATTGTAAACGTCCAAGGCGAGCACCTTGTGCGGCGTCTCCGACATCAGTTTCTCGCACAGGTGAGAGCCAATGAAACCTCCGGCACCGATCATGCATATAGTTATTGGCTTTATTGGCCTCCCATCGAGATCCATTCTCGTTGCCATTTGAAACGACACTGGTTTCTTTATGAACTTGGAAGGCCCGAGACGTCGAAGGAAAAATTAGCAGCTTGAAGAAAAGAGCGAAGAGATATTGAAGATGAAGAGAAAGGGAAGAGTGGTGGGCTGTGTATATATACGGAAAGGAGGGAAATGACAGAGATGGACCCTTTTACAAAAGGTACACTAAATTAGGAAGCGGGATTAATGCGTACTCGCGAGGAACCATGTTTTAGATTCAACCTGAGTACAATTATTTCAAGGGTAAATTATGAATTTACTTAAACTTTACTTTCTATTTCACTCATTATACTTTTAATCTTTTTAATTTAATCACTAAAATTTTACACTAACTTTTTTTAGTCACTACACCGACTGTTTAACGACGTTATCATGTGTATAAACTAAATTATTTCTTTAATTCTTAAATTTTATATCATAAAAAATAAGATTTTTTTCCACTTGAAACCCTAATAAAACTCCTTAAAAAATAGTCAGTGAAAGATTAGTTCTCCCAAACAATCCTTCGCTTAATTCTTCATCAATGGCAACAGAAAGCCAAATTTCATCTCAAATACCCATATCTTTATCTCAAGGCTCTCTTTTCCTCCTCTATCCTCTTCTCTCTTCTTCTTACCCTTCTCCTTTCTTTCAAATCCTTAATTATTATTGGGTTGATTTAAAGTTTCAGCCATGTGTAAATGGAAATTTAAAAAAATTGAGATTTGTGTTTTCGAAGAGTGGGATTAGGAGTTTAGGGTGGGAATTTCTTTCTTCGAATTTTATTGTTTTAGTTCTGTTATTGTTTCTTTTTTGTTTGATTTATCTGAATATTATTTTTTTCATCCAAACTCTTTTTTCAAGTTCTGGGTTAGGTGAAAGAGTTGTGAATGATAATAAAGTTAGAGAAGATGATAATGTGATGGATGGTGGACAAGGAAATAATAGTGGCAAAATCTGTGGCGGTGGAGATGATAATGGTGGCGGCTCAGGGTTTTTTAGAGCGAAAATTAGGGAAGTGATACTGATAGTACCTATCTAATTTGAATAAAAATCTATTTTATTCATGGAAAAAAATGAAAATTGCAGTTCATATCCTACCAACTTAAGCGCAGTTAGAGATATTAGTGGATGGCTTTCATGTTCAAAGACTTTGAAAAGCAAAATATTAGGATAAGAGGAAGCTGCAAGGCGAGCTGGTATATTAGGATTATGTTTGCAATTTAGAATATTAGGATCATATTCTAAGTGTTTTTAGTTAATTTTGCTTTACATGCATTGTTGAGATTGAATTAGTATATTTATAATATTTTGTTGTGAAACTTTTTACTTTGATGATGTTAGATTATTTGATGTTACAACGTTGCTGAGAGTTATTGTGAGATAAGATTGTGGAACCGATATTGTAGCAATTGATGCGCCATCAAAAAGTTGCTAATAGTTGTACAAAATATTATTATGAAAAATATTGAAAAGTATAAAGAAGTTTTAATATAAAAGGAGTCTTAATTTAATGCAGGCTTAAACTCTAATTTATCATTTTTAATTAATATATAAAGGAGGCGGTAAAACTTAATCAAGGGAGAACTTTTTAGGGTTTTATTTTATTCTTTTTTTCTTCACCCAACAACCATGGCCGTTTAGGCAACTTTGGAGAAAAGCAACAGTTGGACGTGAATGTAAAATCACTTGATCGAGAGGATGATGGCTGCTGATCGATGAGAGCATCAACAACAACAATGATGAGACAAATTCGAGAAGGATTTTATTTTTTTCTTAGTTGAAGTACTCTTAATTTGTGTGAGGTTCGTTAAACTTGAATGTTTATATTTTTAAATATATTTTATGAAGTATATGTTTAATTGATTTTGTTCATTGATTAGATTGATGTTTGCTCGGTTTTATTGAGGCATTTAGTACATAGATATATATTTGTCCAGTTCATTGCATCAAAAGGTGAGTAGCATTGTGATGAGTATCATTGATTGTGAGAGCAACATTTCAATGTAGAGAGATCTAGCTGACTGATTGTTGTAGCATACTTAGTAAATTTGCATATGTGAGCATAGAAATATAGCACTGGTGTGAGTTTTTAGATGAAAGCCATCGAGATAGGTTAACCTGCTAAGTTAATGTTAAATATATATTTTTTTGAAGTGTAAGTTTAATTAATTTTGTACATTGAATCGATTGATGTTTGCTCGGTTTTATTGAGGCATTAAGTATATAAATATATATTTGTCCAATTCATTGCATCAAGAGGTGAGTATCATTGTGATGAGCATCATTGATTGTGAGAGCAACGTTTCAGTGTAGAGAGATATAGCTGACTGATTGTCGTAGCATACTTAGTAAATTTGCATATGTGGGCATATAAATATAACACTGGTGTGAGTTTTTGGGTGACAACCATCGAGAGAGGTAAACCTGCTAAGTTAATGTTAGACACATCAATCTTATTGTTGTGATATTGTTAATTGTATGATTAAGTTTAACTTTCCCACAATTTTGTGCTTCAACTGATCTACTGCTTTCATTGTCACTAATGTGATTCCTTTCATCCATTCATCTATTTATTCGCAAATTTATTTTAGCTTTATATTTTTTGTTGCTTTGTTTACATCATCACCTACACAATTCAGCTAATTTGCTTAAATTAATGCTATGACAATTCTCTAAATAATACTAGTCTCTGTGGATATGATATTCGATGCATTAATTTGCATCCACATTATTAGTTGATACGATAATGTATGCTTGTGCTTTGTTATTACATTATTTGAAGCATCAATAGCATCGATCTAATCTGAGAAAATATGTTTTATTCATGGAAAATAAAAGTGTCCTTATTTCTTTCAAAACATCTAACAATATGGGCGAAGCAAAGTCTAAAGATTTAGTCATTTAGGATGCCAAATTTACAACATTGCAAAACAGAAATAATTAATGCCTTGGATGCAACAATTTACAATTACATTACTTTGATTTTTCCTAAAGAGGTTGTGTTATGTTGGTGATGTAAAAACGTAAATATTATGTTGGTTACTTATTTATTTTTATAAATGTTATTATAATATTCTGAAAGTTGATCTATATTTTTTTTGATGTTTATATAATTGAAAATATTAAGTTACAAAACATGATAATCTTATGATTCATGTATGTCATAAATGTTTAAAGTACATTGCCAAGTCCTTATGTGATATACCGTGCTTATATGAACATGTTTAGAGTTATCATCCTTTGATTCACTTTAATTAGTTTTCACTACCTCATTAAGTTATAAGTCATATAAGCTCACTCTGCGCGTTTCGATTGTTTCAAGAGAAGATCAACTTTATTAGAGTGTTTGACATTACATTTTAAGGGTTGCAAGTCCATTCTAAATCAAAATAGTATAAATGAGCATAGTTCTAAACTCCTAGAATATGAACTATGTAGTAATGTTTGGTCTTGTGTAATTTAAAGTTAGTAGTTAATTTTTATTGAAAGGTGTTTAAATGATGTTATAAACTTATTTTTGTAACTTGTTTATTAAGTGTTTAATATATGTTGGGTGAACTTTGATGTTGAAGTTTTAAGAATAGTTATATGATTATTCTATTTTATCGAATGAATAATTAATTTTAAAGGATAAATTATTAAAAGATTATGAATTTAAAAATCTTTATAAAAATTAATAATATTAACACTAAAAATTTTAAGATATGCAGTAGGGATACTATTAAATTTATAACAATATACAATTTTTTTAATACTATAAAATATTTATTAAAACTAAATAAAAATATATTTTTAAGTTCAGGGTTTCCCCCCTAATAAAACCATTCCATCTACTATGTAAGACTATCGAAACTTTGGACCACCCATTTATGGTGCGATGACACAACACCGAGGCTCACCAACACAGTAACACGAGTCTTCTAAGAAGCATCGCGGCATCATGTACTAGGTGTGGTAAATTTAAGAGTTGTGCACAAATCGAAGATGTGGACCAAGGTTTCAGTTTCAGAAATTTTAATGCAAGATGTGGATTGTGGACCATGTAATAGTTGTGGTAAATTTAAGAGGTATGCACAAATCGAAGATGTGGACCAAGGTTTCAGTTTCAGAATTTTTAATGCAAGATGTGGATTGTGGACCATGTACTGTAATTTTTTTTCTTTTATGTAATTTCCTCTAAATGAAAATTTTACTCGTGTTCTCATTTAATATATAATTTATTATAAAATTAAATTTTACCGTTTCCATAATATAAGTTAAATATATAATAATAAATGTTTAAATTATAACTATTTTCTCAAAGTGGTACATAAACTTTTTTGAGTCAATATGTGCATAACATTATAAATATGACCACTTTAGGTGCATCGATCGTTAAAAAAACCCGGATAAGTAACATGTATCATATTCCGGTAATTTTGAAAATTTTATTTAAAATAAAAACTTAAAAGTATAATTTCTTTAAAAAAATTAAAATTTTCAAAAATCTTAATAAAATCCCAAAACTTTTAAAACCTTTGTTTCAATCCCTAAATCCATGTCGGCCACCACTGAACCTCCACCCGGCGACCAATAATCCCATTAACAACCATCAAAATAAGAGTCAACTAACGGTCAATCGAAGCGACCTCGACACCACGCGATCTTGACGACCAATCAACGGTAAGGATAATGATGTCTGACTAGGGAGATGGCAAGGACAACGTCGACGGCAGCGATCGTGGCCGGCAAGGGAGGTAAAGGTTAGGGTTAGGATTATGAGTTTGAGATTTTAGAGATTTGAGAATTTTTTGTAATTTAAGAGAAATTAGTTTTTTTTTTATATAAATTTTTTAAAATTACCTGAAGACAACATGTTTCGCTTAACATGTTATTTTAACGGTCATTCCGGTTGAGGCATTTAAAGTGATAATATTTGTAACGTTAGGTATCTATATTAACCCAAAAAAGATTTAAACACCACTTTGAAAAAGTGATATAGTTTAAACACTTATTTTTATATTAATCCATAAAAAATAGGTAAAAAGTTATATATACTTCAAAATGTTTCCATCAAATGTTTATAAGTAGAGTTATAAACGATTTGACTATAAATTAATTAGTCTCGAATTTTAATTTAAGTAATTAGGTTTTAATGATAATATAT